AACAAAATAAAACTCCAAACAAAACACAGCACATTGCCTTTTATATGGTCACACTGTTCCCTAGAAAGGCCTAAATTTTCATTACTAATTTCTCAGAATTAACTATCCAACAAAAGTGGCATAGTTCAGAATCAAGCTCTAGAACTGTCAGCACCTGCATAATTATTTCATTGCCAAGAGGTCTAAGTACAACAAAGTAAAGGAGAAAAAAAGGAAGTTTTTTAAGCGTGATGACAAACCACATTCCTGTTTTACTGAATAAGAATACATCTATTAATTACTTACATGTTCCAGAAAAATTACTGCCAACTTGAATTTACATGACGAAATAGATCTGCATCTTGCTGGAAAATTTAATAGCCAAAATTTTAAGCAATCTTTTTTGACAGAGATGTTTATATTCATCTATATTAGTTGTAATTCTCTTCTCTATAAAAGTATGTATCCTGAGTCCTAAAATTGGGGAAATAAATCTGCCTCTGCTTTCTAATATGTAAAAGCCATAAACACAATACTGGAAATTATCTCCTTCAGCTCAGACAAAGAATAGTTTTTCTTTGAAGTCTTGAGCAATGATAAATAGGGTAATTTGTGGACTTTATCACCAAATTCTAAGGACAGACTTTTATCAATAATTCTGAACTGCCTATCCTGCTTCGTATTTTCTATAATCTTTCCTGCTTTTACCCAGATCCTTCAAGGTCAGGGAAAGAATAGTCTTATTTATAATAGTTCCATGTACTTCTCACAAAGTTTTTATTACCTACACAGAAAGTAAGTATTTTTACAATTGAGAAGAAATCTGTAGCCTATTCATAAGATTTTATTTCAATCTAAAATCAAAATTTCAATTAGGACAACATACAACTTGACTATGACAAGTACTTTACATTAAAAAGACTGTTTATATATATATATATAAATACTCAATTCAGAATAGGTATTTCATTAAAAAAAAAACCTGATCATATTTGAACATGCAACTTGACTATGACAAGTACTTTAATTTTTAAAGTCTTAATAATTTTATTAAAATTAAAATTAAATTTTATTAGAATTAAAAGTTTATAATTTTATTTACAAATAAAAACCTAATTCAGGATAGGCATTTCATTTTTTAAAATACCTGGTCATATATTTAAGAAAGATTTTAGATTTAAGGGACTACACTCAAGCTAGATCATTGTCTCCTATAAACTGGTTAACTTTTAAAAGGAAAAAGGGTACTCAAACGGATATTTTGTATATCCATGTTCATTGCAGCATTATTCACAACAGCCAAAAGGTAGAAGCCACCCACCCAAACGTCCATCAATGGTTGAAAGGATAAACAAAATGTGGTGTATACATACAATGGAATATTCAGCTTTAAAAAGAAGGTAAATTTACACATGCTACCACATGGATGAACCTTGAAGACACTGTGCTAAGTGAAATAAGCCAGTCACAAAACGACAACTATCATATGATTCCACTGATAGGAGGTACCTAGAGTAGTCAAATTCACAGCAGCACAAAATAGAATGGTGTTTGTCAGGGCCTGGAGGAGGAAGAATGTGGAATTAGTCTTTAATGGATACAGAGTTTCAGTTGGGGAAGATGAAAAAAGTTCTGGAGAGGGATGGTGGTGATGACTGTACAACAATGTGAATGTGCTTAAGGCCACAGAATTATACATTTAAACATGGTTAAAATGGTAAATCTTACGTTACATATATTTCTCCACAATAAAAAAAAAGAAAAGATGTAATTGAGGAACATTCTGAAAATTAAACAATAGTCTATCTAATCACAGATGAATCAGATATCCTAATTTTTAAAAAGATGCCTATACCTAGAATGTCTTTATTGTCACTGTTTATTTTTTGTTTTGCTTTCTCCCTCCTTTATGCCCCTATCCCCTAAGTTCATTTAACTCTATTTATTCATTTTGTGAGTTATGGGTTTTAAGGTGGGATGACCAGATTCTAAGAATCACCAATTTTTATGTTCAAAAAAAATTATATTCTTAAAGTTCAGTCCATGTAGCCAAAGAATACAATTTCCTATCTACAGTAGTATTTTTTTGCAATAAGCTTTATCCTTTAATACAATATTAATTCAAGTCAATTTTCTTCTTTGTGGTCTACACAACTCTGAGTTAAATACTTTCCATTATACTATCTATGGATTTTCTGGAATTTTAAATAATGTTCCAAAATTTCAGTCTTAACTCCTAACTAGAATTTTTGAAGGATTACTAATCTATGATTTATAAAATTTAGAGTAACTTGTTTTCAAGTTCATTATTTTCATGACAAAGCTGCAAAACATAAATTATCAGAAAATTTTGTCTCATCCTAAATGTACTGGTTAGGGGATGGACTTTGTAGACACATGCTCTGGGTATGAATCCTAGATCTATCATGTAATAGATGTGTGAGTGGGCAAATTATTGAAAATATCTAATTCTCAGTTTCTTCACTTTGAAAATGTAGATATTAGTACTTGAGAGTTGTTACAAAGATTATGCATGTAACACTCCTCAACAATGTCTGATGTAGTAAATCCTTAATAAATGTTAGTTGTTAACAAAAATAATCATAATAACATATAAAAATGATAAACACATTACTGGACAGAAAAAGATTATATTCCAACTTTTAAAAAATGACTCCTTACAATTTTTGATGCTAAAATGAATCCAGGAAAAAAGATTAATTGTATTTTGTAAGACTCATTTTCTTTTGTTCATCTTTTCCAAATAGTGTGATTGTTAATATCTCGTTAAACAAAAGAAATTAACTCAAACAAAAATGAGAAGTAAAACCAGGTATGTGCATTTGTGTAAATACACACACACATACACACACATACCGCCCTCTTTAATGTGCTATATACAATTTGAGGAAATTGTATAGAAACATGAGAAAAAAGTTGAAAAGTAAACAGAAGGAGCTATAGATTGTACTGACGGTAACAAGGTATACAAATGTAGGCAAATTTCCAAGTTCAACTATTTAAACAATTCATTCAGAATCACACTACTGTCAGAAAATTATACTGTAATTCTTTTGGTCATTACCCTAGGATATAAATGGATAAGTCCAGAAAAGTTGGATGTTTTCACCCCTTGCCAACAGCATAGGCAAAAGAATATTTTTCTTTAAATAAAACCCAGTTGTTACCACAATTACTACTATGCAAGATTTCTAAGGTATATAATGTTTGATAATGGGATTTCTGATACAATTTCACTAAAAAGCACAAAGGGTTTCTATACTACCAACTCTTACTACCCAAATATAAAGTAATATTCTGTTTTGAAAACAGACTTGTGTTTCCAAAAACATGTTCCTTTGAACACTCAGACTTTGGGGTGGGAGGATAATAGGGTCCTGTAGTCAAATAAACCTGAAATATGCTACATTCTATTTCTCTCTTTTAGATATACGTAACACTATTCACATAAAAGGTTATGAGAAGTCCTATAGTGAGCAGAGATGTTGACATTTCTTAACCAGTGTTTCCCAAACTTATTTGGTCACAGAATTATTTTCTTCAGGTAGTGCAAAGGAACTATTTTTGTTCCTCATAACAACTTATGTTGGGAAATGTACAATAAATTGCCATCGATTAGTATTAAATGTGCAATTTAACATGTACCTGCCCTAAAGAGGTAACCACTGGCAGAATTTGCTGAAGTCCCAAAAATGAGCCCATTGTATTTTATGTTAGAAAAAAAAAACTAACATGCCTAGACTAGTACTTATATTATCTTTAACAAGTTGTATTTATTTCCAGAATACGTGTTTCAACACTTACAGCCTGTATGTTATTTAATCAAGCCCAAACACCCAGTTCTGATACCTATGGAAAGCTGAAAAATGAATATGATCCTCCAAGCCTTTGCTTTTCTTTCTGGGCTTCACTGTAAGTGGAGCAAACCCTGCAGCTCTGAGCTACTGCATACCTTCAAATATGGGAATACTAAACTCAGTTACAACATTTTATTAACTGGTGCTATGACCCTGCATTTATGCAGTTCTACAGTAAAATAATGAATGTTCCACATTAATACTGAAGTAAAATAGTGATTATTACTTCATTCTCCTAACACCTCTATTAAATATATAGAACAAAATACTGTAATTACTATTTTACATATGGAGGTTGAGCAACTTGCCCCAAGTACCAATAGTCAGCAGGGAGCAATTTCTTGTTGGACAGACACTGTGCATATTACAACTATAGAAACTGTATCAGATAATCACCCTAAAATGTGAACAAAAACAGGAAATTCCTTTGCTAATAGCTTATTATTTAAGGAATTTTCTTCTTTGAAAAAATTTTAGGTTACAATTTGCTTGAAATCTAAACTTGAACCAAAAAAAAAATCACATCGTGTGCTAGATAGCTTTTTGTGAATTCAGAAATTAAGAACAAAGGTTTAAACAACTGTAATGAGTTATTATTTTGTCCTTGTGTTAGATAAAAGAAAATAAGCAAGCTACAATTAATTCTAGGTGACATATGAATGTGAATGATTATACTGCTAGGCTGTGGCATCATTTTCTTCCTAGGCTCTCCTTTCAATTTCAAAAGTACTTAAAAATGTAACAAAATTTGTAAGATGAAAGAGACAACAACTATTAAAAAAACATAATAGGGAAGAAATAATGACTCTTATTATAGAAATCACATATTTTGGTAACCCATGGACATTTAGTCATTGGTTTTCAAGTTATACAAAGTAAGTTGGCCATTAGAAGAAAAAAACACTTCAAAACATTGATGGCAGAATACATTAATCACAGTATTTTATATTATGATAATATATATCAATAACATTTTACCAGAGAGGAAGTAAATGGGCAAAGACAAGGAAAAAGCTGACATGAAAGGAATCAAGAACACTGACAACTCAGTAAAGGAAAAGGTGTTAAAGTATCAGATTCAAGTTTCGTAAGTTTTTGTTCTTTTAAAATGTAAAAGCAGAGGTAACAAAAATTGGTTTTCACCTGGTAAGTGTGTACTCCCTGAGTCCTGAATGCAAATTCATGGCAGAAAAAGTACCTATGCATCCACGTAATCTTTTGTCTCGACCAATCTTCCATGTTACAAACAGTGGGCTGTAATGGAAGATAAAAATAGGGTAAATCAATTAATTCAATTCAAGCAAGTATTTATTGAGTGTTGACTGTCTGCTAGGTTAGGTGCCTGAGATATAAAAACCAAAAGACAGGCCTTCAAGGGGCTCAGAGGCTACCCCAATAGGACTACATTTAGCAAAAATTATATTATACTACATTATATTGAGTGTATCCTATATGTTAGGCATCTCAACAAGTGTTTTAAACAAACTAATTATGTTAATCTTCATCAACAACTCTAGGAGGCTGATACTAACATTCTATTTACAGATGAGGGAGTCTCACAGTTGATACATAATGAAGTAGGCACTCAAACATGGGCAATCTTAACTATAGAGCCTTAACCATCATGGCTAACTGAGCAATTCCAAATTGAAACCTCAAGTTACTGACTTATTTGTAAGTCAGATTTGGAAAAGCAGGGGGAAAAACAATGATTTTCATAAGTCCTTCCTGAAAATACAGGGGCTATGTACTGTGAAAGGTGCTAGAAGGATGCCTAAAACATAGTCAATGCTCTTTATGGGTCAGTATAAGAGGCAGGCATAATGAATACACAGCTAACTAATACAAGGAAAAAGGAAATAGGTACTATAAACCATGTCCAAGTGCCATAATTTAAGCTACTGAAATAGAAGAAAACTTCATCAAGCTTGACATTCTTTAGCTTGACCTAGAAAAATCAGTAGGGTTCAGAGAGATGAAGGGCAACTGCAGACATTAAAAAAAAAAAATACCGTGAAACAGGAAAATTATTTTAATTTTTATATAAAAGTATTACCTGCAAATACAATCTCTCAAGTATGAAAGAACAAAGTGTCAATTATAATAAAATATCAGCAAGAATAATGAGGATTTAGATGAAGTTTAATACAGTAGATGTTTGGATTCTGCTGCAAAGTATTGACAGCTTTAAGTAATGGTTAAGTCTAAATACAATTATGTTCTAATTAGAGCAACTCTGTATGCCAGTTTTTATGAAATAATTTACCCATTTTAGGACATTTTGTAAAAAGATAAATATCTGACAATTGGGGATGGTCTATGGTAATATGAGTATTCACAGTAATACTGGAATTATACATTTCTGTTTTCTAAAAATTTAAATTTTAAGGGGATATACCATATGTCATTTTTCCTCTAATATACTGGTGAGTTGAAGAACATTCTTTCTTTAAAATACTCTTTAGTGACTCATCAGCAGATGGATGAAAAGATATCCCATTCAAGTACTTCAAATCACCCACCTAAAACATTTAAATTATGCTGAGCTCTGAAAACCACAATGGCAGATAGATTCCCAAATAAATAATATATACAAACCAGGGTGAAGTACTAAGAGTTACCATCTTCCAAGATCCAAATGTCCAGTGGCATTCAAAAAGATGACTAAAGTCAAGTTACTGTCAACATTAGCATTCAACTGAAAGATGGCCTACACTAACGATACTAAAATATCAAACAAAAGGTAAAAGCCAGGTTTTCTGCTTCCTATATCATATGTACTAAACCTCTTATAATTTGGTTCTAATGCTCCATTTGGAAATTTTTCTGTAACTGTTCTTGATCAGGAAGACAAGAATTAGATGGAATTACTTTCTCACAAATTCTTTCATTACTCATATAAATACCAGTATCTTAAAATTAAAACCTTATCTTTAAGGTTGAAATTCACCTCTTCATTTTTCAGTTTCCAACATGGTATTGTCAACATCAGCAACTTTTTTTTTTTTGAGTCGGAGTCTCACTCTGTTGCCCAGGCTGGAGTGCAGTAGCATGATCTTGGCTCACTGTAACTGCCGCCTCCTGGGTTCAAGCGATTCTCCTGCCTCAGCCTCCTGAGTAGCTAGGCTCACAGGCACGTGCCACCATGCCCAGCTAATTTTAGTATTTTTAGTAGAGACGAGGTTTCACCATGTTGGTCAGACTGATCTCGAACTCCTGATCTTGTGATCCGCCCTCCTGGGCCTCAAAGATGCTGGGATTACAGGTGTGAGCCACCACCCATGGCCTGTCTCTTCTTTTAAAAAAAAAAAAAACAACAACTTTATTTTTTGATTATAGAAGCAGGATATGATCATAAATTAAGAAATCAGAAATATAGAAATATATCAATCCTCTCCCGTAACAATGTCTCTACAAAGTATTTCTATGTAAGACAGGTCTTTTGGCAGCTTCAGAATGAAGTGAGTCTCACTGTAATATAGATAATAGCATGTTTTTAAAATACCGTGATGGTTTCTCAATAACATAGAATTACATTGTATATTCTCTTCCTCAATGACTTCCATAAGAAACCTAAAAGTGTGAGTGAATTCATTTCCTATCAAAAATGCTAGAAATGAAAGTCATTTAAAAGTATTTTACCTTCTACTTTCTTATTTATCCCAGGAAATACATACATACACCATTCTTACTATAATATAACCCTATCTGCTCAAGTAAACATTCAAAACTTAAAGTATAAATAGAAAAACAACACAAACTAAACACTATACTATGAAATATGTTGCAGGGCACTCAAACATATGGTGGGAGAAATTATTTATTAATAGTTTCTTATAATGCCATACTATCACTGATGAAGGAATGTTTAATTCAGAGCTTAGGGTGCTGCAGGACAACTTGCATATTGCAAGGCAGGCTGAGGAGCAAAGATGCTCCAAAACAAGCAAGGGCATGGACATGTAAAAGTACACAGCACATTGAGGAAATAGGAAGTAGTCTGACAGTCTTGATAACTTGCTATGGGCTCTTTCAGATTTAACACTTCTTTGAATTTGAAGCACTGTGGAATATGTGTTCTCAAGAGCCCTCCTAAGATGTAGAGCAGATACAAAATAATCTATACTCTCCCTATCCTTACCTGCCCCAGGCAACATCCGCTTTGGGAGTTGGGATTGCAGGGAAGTATCTGTGTCAAAGATGGGAGTGAGTGCTACTCGACAACCTTACTGTGTTTAGAACAGATGCCTGAAGATGGAAGAAATCAGACTTTTAGTAGACAGAATAAAATGATTCATTAAAAATTTGGGACTCTAATTTCTCATTTACAAATGCTCATCTAAAATCTTTTATAAAGTACACGTGTACGGAATTAGAAACAAATAAAATACCTAAAAGCAACATTGAATGGGGAAAAGAACCCGAGAAGTTAAGCACTTTGAAGTAGACAGAAACATAATAAACATCACTGAGCACAATAGATTGCATCTCATGTGTGATAACCACTTTGTACAGGGCAATGACTATGGGAACATTCAATATATATTATCTAAAAATAGGAACACATTTTTTTTCTTCATGTAACACAGAGCGAAGGAATAGGCAATTTCATTCGTAAAAGTGCTATGAAAACATGTATGAGTTCCCAAAAAGACCTAAGACATCAGCATAATCGGACGCAGATCAAAGCAGACAAAAGGGTTTTGGGCTTGTTGAGAGGAGCTGCTCAATGAGAAGAAAATACAGAAAACAGTTCATAGTAAGACAAAGATTTACTATTTTGGGGAAATGCTTTTGCCATATGGTTTGAGGCCACCTACGTACACTGAAAAAATACTACAAACTAGAAAAGGGCTCAAAATGAGATGAAAAATTAATGAAAATATTTATCTGAAGGTAACCAGACAAATCTTTTTAAGTAATTGTTCTACTTTCAAATATTTTGTACCACTAAGTTCTGAGAAACCTTTGGAGAAAAGCACTTCATTTTTTCATGTCTGTAGACAGAAACAGGAAGTAACCATTTATTCTAGGTGAATCCTCCCTGCCAACTAACAGCCAATACTGTCAGGTCCACAGTAGCTCTAAAGGAAATATAGTTGCATACAATCAGCAGAAGTACGAAAAGCAATGTAAATCTGAACAGAACGCTCCCCATCTATTGATGTGAGACAGAACAATTTAGAAATACGTTTGCAGGAGCAGAATACAATTAGGTGATACAATGAAAAAGGTGTTATTTACTTAATAATATTTTACCTTAAACTTTATCTCTCCTATCATATCTAGGCAAAATAGAGGTTACAAAAAAGTCTTAGTCTACTGCAAGCCTCCACTCTGCCAATTTGCTCTTCTTTAGAATGAGATTTAAAGGACGCAACATTAACAAAATAACATCAATCACTACCAATGCAATTAATAGAAGGGGATGCTCAGCAAGGTTATTTATATTGGAAGGGGGGTATAGGAAAAGAGAGAAGCCCTGTAACTTGTTCTGTTCTTCTGCCATAGATAATGATTGTTTCTCAATTGTATTCAGGTTTCTCAGCAATTTAGCTAAAATACAACTATATTCCTCATAACATCCAGCTAAAAATACAGTAATTCCCCAGGATCTAGCAGCTTAGAGAAATACAGAAATGATGGTGTCTTCTTTTCACCACTAGGTAAAAACGTTTCACTTCCTATTTCAACAAAAAGAAGCTTTACATATCATTTCTAAATCATATAAACTACAGATTCAATTCATAAAAACATACCTACTATGGTTAAATCATGTAATAGGGTTGCCATAATAAAATACTATAGACTAGGTGGCATAAACCACAGAAATTTATTTCCTCACTGTTATGGAGGCTAGAAAACCCAAGATTAAGGTACTGGCAGAGTTCAGTTACGGATAAAGGCTCTCTTCCTTTACTAGGCTTTAAGGCTGCTATACGGCTACTTCGTACTCACATAGCCTTGACTCTGAGTTTGTGAAGGGAGAGGGCGAGCAAGAGCTCTCCAAGTGCCTCTTAGAAATACACTAATCCTATTGGATCAGGGCCCCATTTTCATGACTTCATTTAACCTTAATTAATTTATTATAGGCCCTATCAAATACAGTCACATTAGGGGTTGGGGCTTGGACATAGGAATGTAGAGGTTGGCGGGGGTGGGGGAGGTGGTGTGCTTACAATTCAGTCCGTAACAAATCCCTAACCCAAACTTTAGTACATAAAGTGTATATAACAATGTATCTAAGATCATTC